ATTTCGATCCGCTTCAACTTGCTGGCGATGTTGATCTGTGCAGCTGCCGCTGGAGCAGTCCGTGGCGCAGGTCGAGCTGCGGTGCCTCCGACATATGTCGGAACTGGGTCGAATACTGCGGTCTGGGGTGCTTGCATGCCAGCGCTGGGTCTCACACCGTACTGTGACGCTCCGGCAGAGATGGTGTGCGACGGTCCAGTAGACACAGGTGAGTTGTACACGACTGCACTATTGCTCGCACTCCACTGCGGTTGCTGTTGTTGTTGTTGGTACATGTATGCCTGCTGCGGCCTGGCACTATTGTTGCCATACGTTGCATACAGCATACTAGGTGTTTGATCAGCAGGATCGTGGATCAGGAAGGCAGAGCCTTGTTCCGGATTTATAGCGGGAGCGTTGCTGCCCGTGGTCATAGTTGCAAATGACGCTGGCAGCACTGAATTACGTGGCTGGTACTCTGCGGCTGCTGCAGATAAAGCGGTGCATGCATTGCTGTTGATCATATCCGTTTGCGGTGGCGCGTGTGCTGACGCGGTTGCCATGGCAACGGTCGGGAAGGGTTCGGCAGGTTCCCCCACACGCTGACCACTGAACATTACAACACGACTGTCCGGCTCTACTTTCACCCGTTCTCCATAGTCTGCAGCCCTGGGCAACATAACCTGCGCATCGTCCTGGCGACCAAGAAACGGTGCATCTTGGAGCGCCGCACGCAGATCTAGAATTTCTCTGCTTTCCTCTCGCACTGACGCCAGTAAAGGCGTTGCCCCTCTCAGTGGCGATTGCTTGGGACTGGGAGTCTGCCTGGTCGACGCTGCCAGGCTCGCTCTGCTGCTCCTGATGAGCACACTCCTGGCCAATTCCATGGCATCTGAATACTGGCCTTCCAGCTGCTTGTACTGCTTTTGGAGACCAGCATGTCTCCTAGAGTCAGTATCCACCACCGCTTCCATGTACTCCATGATGACCTTCTTGGTCTCGTCATACACTGTCGTCAAGTGGCTTCTCCATGCCTTTACGTCATCTTGGTTCGGCACCTCATTCGTTGACTCCACTGTCAAATTTCTCCTCGTATTTGTGAAATCCGTTTTCAGCTCTCGCTTTTTCCGTGCGAGGTCTTCTAGTTTTACCTCCATGATGGCTCCGTGAAAACCATCCTCTGCTACCAATAGTTTGGAGTTGACAGGAGGGCATGCACATCGAAACCACGCCTTGTCAACGACCCGTTCTTTCTCAGTTTTAACGACCACACTCAGCAAAGAACAAAACAACAACGAAGCACAACGACACACCAACGCTGATGTGGCATCGCAAATCCCGTACCGTGCACGCAGGCACTGGGTTGCAACAGAAAAAAGACGCGCTGCAAGCGTGCCAAGCAGCGAGTGAGTACAGAACGCGTACTAATGCCAGTCATGGCAACGGAAGATAAAATTATGGAGATCGACTCGCGCATGGTTCGATCGAGAGCAGAGTACGAAAAAGGCACACATTCAAAGTTCAAACTGTGCAACAGAAGCAGAAGAGGAAAACGAAAATGAACACTTGTCGTGAAGTGAAGTGCTTCTGTCTAAGGGTGCTTGCACCCGACGGGGTGACAGCGCCCCTAGTCAGACAATACAAGGCAAACGAAATAGAAATTAGCTGAGTCACAGCGCGGGACTCCGAAACGAAAACCGGTGAGTATGTAAATATTAATTGTTTCGTACCTGCTGTACAACGTAACAATTGCTCAAATTCGTAACGTATTTTCAAACTAGCACTCGTAGAATTGTAGTGCGAATGTGCCACTCGATTTAAATATAGTAACAACGACAAAGATATACTCTTCTAAACATGCAGGCTTATAATTGGTTCTCCGAAACACGGAATACCCGGAACTCACTCAGTCTCCCACGCGCTGCCTCCACCCTATTCACTAGATCCCCGATCTTTGCTGGCTATGTGTTTTGGGCAACATTACCAACGCAGGCCAAGACCAGCACGTCGGTGGATAATTTTGTTGCTAAAATCTCTGATCAATTATAGGTTTCATGTATATCCTGCTGGTTTGTCTCCTCCTTTGCCTTCTTTGCCTCTTATTTGTATTCTTTTATCTGTTTTACTGCTGTGGTTGGCTTTCACCCTTGTCTCAGTTTTATTGGCCGTCATCATGATGTGCCATGAGATAATGATATAAATACAAATACAATCAAGCTCAATGGATGAAGGGTAGATTCCGTGAAATACTATGTGTTGAACAGGGGTGATGCTTTTGGGTTTGCCGAGTGGAAGGAGCGACGTGCTCCTCCTGTGCTTGGGATGGCAGTGGTGGGTCAGTAAAATGTCAAGTTCTGCAACAAACTTCTCACTAATACCGCGGAAGGTGCTACTTCTTCCAGGATACCTTTGACTCCTAGTTAGAGCTACATTTGAATGACACAGTATGAGAGTTTCACATCATGAGCTCACGCGCGGAAACACACACATACACACTCACACCCCAACACAAACGCAAACACACATGCACAATCTATCTATTTCCATATTTATCTTCACCTAAGCGCGAGACATGGGATCACCCAAGCTTCATGCTGACTCTGAAACACCTGACAAGAGGTGGTGCAATCAAAGACACTTTGCTGTTAGAATATTACAACAAAGTGTCTGCTACGAATAGATGCATGGTTTATTATCTTCTCCTGTGATAAATGATAATATAGGTAAACAGTTTCTTCTGAGACAAAAATGCGATAATACTCATAAAAAGGACACACTTCAGGCTCATTGCAAACATCTTGAAATGTTTTGTCTTCACAAGTATACTTTCAAGCCTTCTCGTCAGGTAAAATACTTAGGCTGTTAGGTAGGTCGTCAAAACCTCGTTAGTTACATGTATGTCCAGTGGTTGTCTTTTGTTGTCGCACTACATGTCACGCTTATTGAGTTTTCTCGCACTTGACCACTTTGCGTCGCGATTGCAGGGTTTTTATAGCCAACCACGTTTACTTTAGCTATCTTCTTTTTTTGCGCTGTTTTACCACCTTCTTACTGTATTTAATCCACTGTTCCTGTTCCTTTTTCCTTGCCTGTATTTCACCTGACGAGAAGGCTTGAAAGTATACTTGTGAGGACAAAAACTTTCAAGTTGTTTGTAATGAGCCTGAAGTGTGTCCTTTTTATGAGTATTATGAATATATAAGCAGTGCTGATTATATGTTATGTATGATCTATTACACTGTGCCCAGTTCTAAGCATTGATGTGGTCCTCTTGCTACCTCGACACATTATAACTGTTGACAATTTAGGTGGAGCTAAATTTTAAGAAAGAATCTGATATAAGCGGAATGCATAACTAAAGGATTTCAAGCCCAACATGAAGCTCGTGTTCTAATAACTGCTAATACTTCATCCAGATTTGTTTCTCTTTTCCTCCAGTAATGTGTAATATTTATTAAATTTTGCTTTGTTTTTGTTAACTGCCATGGCTGGCTACCGTCCCCCTCCCTCCATATTGGCCTATAATCTCTGGCCAAGGGAAGGTGAAATAAATAAAAATCCTGATGTATGAGAAATGCCACATAATATCATGGTACAGGTGCAATACAACCACAAAAGGAAATGCAAAAAGGTAACAAGATTACGTAACCAAAGTTGAGAAGCCACTGAACGAAGGGTCAACCTTCGTGGTCGTGCACTTGTATCATGAATATCCTGAGTGCCGCACGATGTAAAAACACCACATTTAAACCCTAAACGTCATGTACGTTCCTTGCATCCCACTAGATTTTGTGGATTCACAGGAAGCGAGAGTTTCTAAGTCTGAAGAAAATGTTGAGCAGTCGCTGCTTGGGTGACTAGTAGCGGTAGAGTGTTTAGTGGTAGAGCATGGCTGGCCATAATCGATTGTATCAGGTTGGAGTCCTGGTGGTCACAGTCATTTTCCCCTTTCCACATTTCCTTAGAGCAAATGAACATTGAGGTAACCTGTTTATTAGAAGATTTTAAATGTTTTGACGGGGACCTGAACGGGTCTATTCAAATGGGACCAGAGGTAGACATCTACATACAGGAATAAACTCTTTAGCATCATGGGGGAACTTCAAAACAGCACAGCGTCTCTTCTAGGGAAAGGATCCATACCCGGCATGCGTGCAGAAGAGGAAAGATGCGCGAAAAAGTACAGATTTTATAAACCACGAGCCACATGATCAGCTCAACTGTTTTTTTGTGAATGGTAGATATGGAAATACGTGTACGAAGTGCATTGAGTAATATGGCTAGAAACTGTACAATATATCAATTCTAAACCAATGATAATGAAAATTATTGTGATGCTACAAATATGGAAGTCAGCATGTAAGCAGTGGCCTTTGCGTGGTGTTCAGATTTGGTTACTTGCATTTCAAAAAGGGCCTACAAGTACATGTATAATGAACATTTTCCATAATTTGGAAAAGAAGCCTTTTGTTAATGTTAACATTTTGATAGTCTTCCAAGTGTTTTTTTAATCATTGACAGACTTTTATTGTTTCTCTCAGAGGTGGATTCCTTCATGTACTGTTAGGTTAGATTTCCGAGAGAAAGACTTTTCACATATTTTACACTTGAACGGTTTCTCTCCAGTATGGATGCGTTGATGACCCGCGAGATTTGATGCAGTTCTGAACGCCTCCTCACAAACGTTACTTTTGAAAGGTTTCTCTCCTGTATGGACGCGTTGATGATCTGTGAGATGTGAAGGTTGTCTGAATGCCTTGTTACATTCTTTACACTTGTATGGTCTCTCCCCAGTGTGGATGCGTAAATGAATTTTAAGATTGGAACGGGAGTGAAAACCTCGATCACAGTGATCACAGGTAAACCGCTTCTCCCCGGTATGGTACCGTTCATGAGCAGTATGATTGGATTTAACACTGAATGATCTAGCGCAGAACTTGCACGTGAAGGGTTTGTCTCCTGAGTGAACTCGAACATGGCGGACAAGAAGAGATCGCCAATCGAAGACTTTATCGCACACTTTACACTTGAAAGGTTTTCTTTTCTCGGTGCGTACGTTCATAGGATGTTAGACTGGATTGAGTAGAAAATCTTTTATCGCAAAACCTACATTCATACGGCTTTTCTACGGGACGTGAATGACTGCGATCAAGCATATCATTCTGGCGATGAAGCGATGGCCCAGTTTCCTTGCAAAGCGAATTTTCGGACTGAGGAAAGTCAGCTTGAAGTTGAAAATCTGCCTCAGACCTAGACTCGGAGATATGCTGATTGTTGTGCTGTAAGCTAGACATCCTAAGATCCACTGGAACATGTTCGATATTGTGAACGTCCAGGTCAGCAGATTTGCCTGAGTAATCGCCATCTTCCAACTCATAACCAACGTGTGAGTGGCCTGTGTAGTGATCTGAAACAGAAACGGGATGGTTAGCAGTTTGGTTACGGTTGCTTTGCGATCTTTGGCCATTGTCCATTGCTGATGTCATGGGATTAGAGCATGGGTTATCGTCAGTTGCTGTTGAAGGATCATTAGCGCGTGTATCCTTGTTTCTCTGGAACTCTGGTTGAGGTGGCCTGAAGTTGTCTGCTGCAATGTCCAGCCAAGGATGATCTTGAAGAACACAGGAGGTAGATATTGGTGTGTTACAAGAGGTGAATGAGGAATGCTGAAGTCCATAATTCGCAAAAGAGCCTTCTGAGGTCGTCTCTGGATTACCGCTATCAGAGTTGACGTGGTAATGAGCTCCATAACATGTACCATAATATGGTATATTTGGCGGTGGAGGACACGCAGTTGACCTTCTGCTGGTCTATATCACTAATGGTGGCAGTGGTGAGAGTGCATCAGAGTCGACACTCCCCTCCGAAGTCCTGCAACAATCATCCATGATTCACTCAGTAATTCTTTCAAGCCCAGTTCTCTTGCCATACAGGGCAAAGTATCGGAATTCAATACCAATAATCCAAAGAACTGGAACAACTCGTCCTAGGACGTAAGTATTGTAATCAGTAGCAGCTGTGTTTCCCGAATAAGTACATGAACACTTTGATAATTTGTCACGATTTTAGGTTGATGTCTATTTCTAGGCTCTTACATTTAACTGACACATTTGATCGTTCGACATCAAGAGCTCTCGCGCGGAAACAAACACATACATACTCACACACACAACCCCCCCCCCCCCCACACACACAAACACACTTTTAAAACAGTCTCTCTATTTCCATATTTCTCTTCACCTTAGCGCGAGACATGGGATGACTCAAGCTTCATCCTGACTCTGCAGCACCTGACAAGAGGTTATGCAATCAAAGACACTTTTCTGTTAGAATATTACAACAAAGTGTCTGCTAAGAGTAGATGCATGGTTTATATCGGCTCTTATGATAAATGATAAAATAGGTAGCGCCGGGACTGGCCGTGCTCAGGACTACTACAGGACACGAGGGAGACTCCATCCGCAAGGCAATCACGAAGCTATTCAAAGACGTTGACCTACGAGTAACCGTCAGTACCAACCAGAGGACAGTGGACTTCCTCGACGGCACCTTTGATCTAGCCAGCGGCCGCTACTACCCATACCGCAAACTGAATGACGCACCCAGCAACATACACACCAAGTCGAATCACCCGCCCAATACACTCCGGAATCTACCTGCAATGATCAATAGGCGGGTGTCCGACATCTCGTGCGACGAGGAGGCATTCACCAACGTGGCACAAGCATACAGGGCTGTTGTATGATAGCGCAGTATCTGACAGCGGATTTCCCTGCCGCGTCGCCACTACACAAGATCTTAGACAGAAAGACATTGAAGTTGAGCTACTCCTGCATGCCCAACATGTCCTACCTGATGAAGGGACATAGCCAAAAGGTACTAACGCTTTGTGAAGAGAGATCTGCGGCAGGGTGCAACTGCCGAAGCCAAGCCATCATGCCCTTTGGGCGGCGGATGCTTGGAGGGGGAAGCGGTGTACCAGGCTTCCGTCACAACCCCAAGTACCGGCGAGGAAAGGCAATACATCGGCCTGGGCGAGACGCACTTCAAGGTGAGCTATGGCAACCACCTAACCAGCATGTGGCATGAAAAGTACCGTACCAAGACCAAGCTATCCAAGCACACATGGGCGCTGGTTGACCAAGGTGAGGAATACAGAATCAAACGGGCAGTCATTGATCGGGCCAAGTCCTACAGCAACATATCCAAAAGGTGCTGCTTGTGTTTAGCAGAAAAGGTGCGCATCATCACCTTCAAGACGCCTCACACTATGCTCAAAAAGAGGTCAGAGTTGGTATCAAAGTGCAGACACCAAAACAAGTTCTACCTCTCCACCTACTCTGCCGTGACATAGCCACCGCGTGCTACCATTATCACCGCCAAATCCTCTGAATACCCGCGGCTGTTGAATGTGGACACCACAGTGGGCTTCCTCCGCCACACATCACACCCCTGCCCAGTGCCCCCATGGCTTACCCTTGCCCTGCCTGGTGGTTTCTCCGCCTCTGCACGCTCCATGCATAGTTCGCGCCTACTTCGCATGCCCATCCAGTGATATATTTCTTATCACTCGCTCTTCCCATGCATGCCCTGCATTGATAACTCACACATGCCCATGCGTATCCCCCACACTAAGAACAAGCTATCCCGCGACAATAGCATTAGTTGTCTGATGATTGCATTAGCAATTAGCTACGTGCATGAAACGCAGCGTTTCAACGTATGTATAATATAAAATTGGTGGAACCATTCTTTTTGACCTTTGAGGTAGTGCCGGGTATACGGTACATGATCTATTACACTCTGCCCAGTTCTAAGCATTGGTATGGTCCACTTGCTAACTCCACACGTTATAACTGTTGACAATTTCTGTAGAGCTAATTTTTAAGAAAGAATCTGATATATCCGGAACGAGGTGTTAGAAATGCCACATAAAATCATGATAGGAGTGCAATAAAACACTAGGCGAAACGCAAAAAGGCAACAAGATTACGTAACCAAAGTTGACAAGCCACTGAACGAAGTGTCAACCTTCGTGGTTGTGCACTTGTATCATGAATATCCTGAGTTTCTCACGATGTAAGAACACCACATTTAAATCCTAAACGTCATGTATGTTCCTTGAACCCCACTAGATTTTGTGCATTCATAGGAAGCGAGAGTTGCTACATGTAAGTCTGAGGAAAATGTTGAGCAGTCGCTGCTTGGATGACTAGTAGTGGTAGAGTGATTAGTGGTAGAGTATGGCTGGGCATTATCGATTGTATCAGGTTGGAGTCCTAGTGGTCACCGTCTCTTTCCCCTTTCCACATTTCCCTCGAGCAAATGAACATTGTGGTAATTTTTTTATTAGAAGATTTTAAACGTTTTGACGGGGACTTGAACGGGTCTATACAAATGGGACCAGAGGTAGACATCTTCATACAGGAATAAACTATCTCACATATTTATCATCATGTGCCAACTCCAAAACAGCACAGCGTCTCTTCTGAGGAAAAGATCTATACCCAGCATGCGTGCAGAAGAGTAAAGATGCGCGAAAAAATACAGATTTTACAAAACACGAGCCACATGATCAGCTCAACTGTTTTTTTTTGTGAATGGTAGATATGGAAATACGTGTACGAAGTGCATAGAGTAATATGGCTAGAAACTGTACAATATATCAACTCTAAAACAATGATAATGATAATGTTTGTGATGTTTCAAATATGGAAGTCAGCATGTAAGCAGTGATTTTTGCATGGAGTTTAGATTGGACTACATTCATTTCAAAACGCACTTATAATGAACATTTTCCATAATCTGGGAAAGAAGCCTTTTGTTAAACGGTGTTAGTAGTTTGCATGGTCTTCCAGGTGTTGTTTTGTACCATTGAAAGACTTGTCACAGTCGCTGATAAGTTTCTCTCAGGGATGGATTCCTTCGTGTGCCGTTAGATTGGATTTCCGAGAGAAAGACTTTCCACATATTTTACACGAAAATGACGTCGCGCCAGAATGGATGCGTTCATGACGTGTGAGATGTGATGTTTGTCTGAATGCCTTGTTACATATTTGACACTGGAATGGTTTCTCTCCAGTATGGATGCGTTGATGACCTGCAAGATGTGCAGCAGTCCTGAATGATTCGCCACAAGCGTTACATTTGAAGGGTTTCCATGCAGTATGGATGCGTTTATGATCTGAAAGATTCGATGCAGTCCTAAACGCTTTGTCACAAACGGTACACTTGAAGGGTTTCTCTCCAGTATGGATGCGTTGATGATTTGTGAGATTTGATCGTTGTGTGAATTCTTTGCCACATTCTTTACACTTGTATTGTCTGTGTCCAGTGTGGATGCGTAGATGAATTCTAAGATTGGAACGGGAGTGAAAACCTTGATCACAGTGATCACAGGTAAACCGCTTCTCCCCGGTATGGTACCGTTCATGAGCAGTGTGATTGGATTTATCACTGAATGATTTAGCGCAGAACTTGCACGTGAAGGGTTTGTCTCCTGAGTGAACTCGAACATGACGGACAAGAAGAGATCGGCTATCGAAGATTTTATCGCACACTTTACACTTGAAAGGTTTCTCTTCTCGGTGCGTACGTTCATGACATGTTAGACTGGATTGAGTAGAAAAAGATATATCGCAAAACTTACATTCATACGGCTTTTCTACGGGATCTGAATGTCTGCGATCAAGCATATCATGCTGGCGATCAAGCGATGGCCCAGTTTCCTTGCAATGCGAAGTTTCGGGTTGAGGGAAGTCAGCTTGAAGTTGAAAATCTGCCTCAGAACTAGACTCGGAGACATGCTGATTTTTGTGCGATAAGCTAGACATCCTAAGATCCATTGGAACATGTTCGATATTGTGAACGTCCAGGTCGGCAGATTTGCCTGAGTATTCGCTATCTTCCGACTCATACCCAACGTGTGCGTGGCCTGTGTAGTGATCTGAAACAGAAACGGGATGGTTAGCAGTTTGGTTACGGTTGCTTTGCGATCTTTGGCCATTGTCCATTGCTGATGTCATTGGATTAGAGCATGGGTTATCGTCAGTTGCTGTTGAAGGATCATTAGCGCGTGTATCCTTGTTCCTCTGGAACTCTGGTCGAGGCGGCCTGAAGTTGTCTACTGCAGTGTCCAGCCTAGGATGATCTTGGAGCACTCTGGAGGTAGATGTTGGTGTGTTCGAAGTGGTGAATGAGGAATGCTGAAGTGTATAATTCGCAAAGGAGCCTTCTGAGGTCGTCTCTGCGTTACCGCCATTGGGGTTTGCGTGGTGATGAGCCGTGTAAGTCGTACCGTAAAATGGTATATTTCGCTGTGGGGGATACCCAGTTGACCTTCTGCTGGTCCATATCACTAATGGTGGAAGTGGTGAGAGTGTATCAGAGTCGGCACTTCCATCCGAAGTCCAGTCACAATCATCCATGATTCACTTACTTCAACAATTCTTCCAAACGGAATTCTCTTGCCATGTAGGGCAAAGTGTCCGAATTAAATACCAATAATCCATAGAACGAAGTAGTGGTTGCGACTTCGGCGATGATTTGTAAGAAAGGTTTGCTCCCCACACCGGAGCTCGCGCTATTCCGCCGACTTTACTTGACACTTGACTGACTCACGACTGCCATCCAGAGCACACGAGAAGTCCATCGAACCTTCGACTCGGCAAACCTGCAAGAAAGCACCACTCCCTGCTCAATACACAGTGTTTCGGGGAATTCACCCCTCATCAGTTGAGCTTGAGTAGGCCGAGGAAGATTGTGCCTGAAGATTGTGCCTGAAGAGCACCACCGCGGAATAGCGCGAGCTCCGGTGTGGGGAGCAAACCTTTCTTACAAATCATCGCCGAAGTCGCAACCACTACTTCGTACTGTTGTGCCCAGCGCGGGCTTGCGACTAGTTGGTTTGGAGGTGACAGCGTTGCGAATGACCGAGGGTCCTCGACGTCTGTCTCACCGTCCAGGAGCGACACTGACTCACGCTGCTATCTGGTGTTCACGAGGTGTTTATCGCGCTGGAAGCGGAGCGTCTCTGTAAGTCTGTATCCCTGGTGATGTTTGTGCCTGGAGAGCACTATATAAGTGGTGCTCTTCAGGCACAATCTTCCTCGGCCTACTCAAGCTCAACTGATGAGGGGTGAATTCCCCGAAACACTGTGTATTGAGCAGGGAGTGGTGCTTTCTTGCAGGTTTGCCGAGTCGAAGGTTCGATGGACTTCTCGTGTGCTCTGGATGGCAGTCGTGAGTCAGTCAAGTGTCAAGTAAAGTCGGCGGAATAGCGCGAGCTCCGGTGTGGGGAGCAAACCTTTCTTACAAATAATCCATAGAGCAGAAACAATTCATGCTAGGAGGTTAGTACTGTAATCAGTAGCAGCTGTGTTTCCCGAATAAGTAGATGAACACTTTGAGATAATTTGTCACGTTGATGTCTATTTCTAGGCCAATACATTAACGAGCTGCTCTATAATTATCTCGACCAAATACTTTAAAACAATCAGCTCATGCGATAAATTTGCACGACATTTACCGACGTTGACCGACGTTAAAGGGTAAATAGTAGTTCCTTGGTCCTTTATATTTCCTATAAATTTATAATTGATTCTCTATCCGAGTCGATCCTTACATTAATTTTAAGTGACACATCATGATCTTTTCACCTCATGAGCTGGCGCCCGGTAACACACACACATGCACACTCACACAAACAAACACCTACTCCCCATACACAAACACACGCACACTATCTCTATTTCCATATTTTTCTTCACCTTAACGCTTGACATGGGATCAGCCAAGCTTCGTGTGGAGTCTGCAACACGTGACAAGAGGTGATGCAATCTGAGACACTTTGTTGTTAGAATCGAAAAACACAAAGTGTCTGCTTTGAACAGATTCATGGTTGATATGGTCTCCTGTGATATGGTCTAGGTAGTACCGGGCATCTGTTACACAATCGATTAATTTACGCCCTGTTCTAAGCATAGATATGGTGCTCTTGCTAACTCGTCACGTTATAACTGTTGACAATGTCGGTGGAGCTAAGTGTTAAGAAAGATATAAGAGAAATGAATATCGTGAGTTCCACACTATGTACAAAAAGCACAATTACAACAGGAAATGCCTTGCACGTTCCTTGCATCCAACCAGCTTGTGTGGATTCACAGGAGACGTGAGTTTCTAAGTCTGCGGAAAATATTGAACGGTCACTGATCTGATGACCACTAGTGGTAGAGTGCTGAGCTGTAGGGCATCTCTGGGCATAAGCGATTGTCACAGGTCACAGGATTGAACCGCCGCCCCAACACCATTGAAGCCTGGTTAGCTCAAAACTTATAACAACAGATTAACCTCTCCTTTTGTCAGAAAAGCCAGTTAAGACACAGTATCTTCTTTAAAAGATTCCATCGACACCAAATTTGGGGTGCTAGCTGTGCTAGTACTCATCCGAGCTACATGTAGCTCACACGCTGCACTGCATGGCTCTATACTGCCTTCAAGACTGACGTCATGCGCTATGTGTTGCTGCATAATCACAACGATATGGCACCCAACTCGTTTTGCTGAAAAGAAAAACTAATCTTGCTTGCCCTGTTGTGTTCTTCCAGACAACAGATCGTGCTTCTGCAGTGTTTCTTTTCCCCCCATCCCTCCCTATCCAACGTATTCAGACCATCATGATAATAATGGTAGGAATTGATCGAGTCCACTTTCACAACTGGTGTTATCTACATGTAGCCATTTCCTGCGGCTCTGCCTTGAGCTATATTACATCCATTAGCATTGCAGCTCTACGATGAGCTAACAACAGCTCTACTTTGAGCTAACAGCAGCTCAAATTTGAGCTAACAGCATTTCTACTTTGAGCTTACAGCGGCTCTACGTTTGGCTATTAGCATCTCTACTTTGAGCAAACACTCTCACAACTGGTGTTATCTGGCAATTTTCTGCAGCTCTGCCTTGAGCCTTATTACATCCATTAGCATTGCAGCTCTACGATGAGCTAACAGCAGCTAACAGCAGCTCTACTTTGAAAGACGTCATAGTATCCGGCTACAATAGAACAATAAACCGACATTCACAGCGACAATCATACACACAAACGGACAAGCGCACACACACATGCAAACACAACGAAAGTAGAGCAAGAAATGAGCACATCTAAGAATTATCGGCTCGCATGTCAGGTGAAAACATCACCGCAACACACTTACGAAACTACCATGTATTTCATCAATTATCACGATAATAATAACTATAATAAAAAAATTGCATAACGTTCAGCGCTATCCACCATTCTTCTACACTCCTATCAGTCGGAGGCACGTTTGTTTGTCGCTGGTGGTGGGGAGATTTCGTCAAAGGAGGGTACTACCCAGGGAGACCCGCTGTCCATGGCATTTTATGCATTGGCCACACTCCCCATCATTCGGCATTTGCAGCAGCAACACGACGCCGTTAAGCAGATTTGGTATGCGGATGACTCCAGTGGTGCTGGCAGGATGAGAGCGATTCGAGACTGGTGGACAACAATCCAGGAACACGGTCGCCTGTATGGATATTTCACCAATCCGGACAAAACCCTACTTCTCGTGAAGCCCGGATTGGAGGAGGAGGCTTCCCATCTGTTTGAAGGCACCGGTGTCCGCATTGTCACCGGCAGCACTAAATATCTGGGCTCATACATCGGGGAGCCTGATGATGTTGCCAGCCAAGTGAGGGAGAGGGTTGATGATTGGTGCAAGGAGCTACGCACATTAGCAAAGTTTGCCAGCACAGAGCCTCACGCGGCTTATGCAGCTTTGACTCATGGCCTGCGGGGTCGTTGGGTCTACCTCTTTCGTACGGTTCCCATTCCGGAGGACGCAGTATCAGCGTTGGACAAGGTAATCGAAACTGAGTTCTTGCCGGCTGCAACTGGTCGAGATGCATTCACCACGGAGGATTTGGTGATGCTCAGGCTGCCGACTCGTTTCGGGGGAATGGCCATTCCACACTTTCACAGCATGAGCGGGACAGAGCGCGACGCTTCCAGAGCAATGACAGCAGCCCAGGTTAGTGAAATTCTGCAACAGAACAACACATCATGGACCAAGCAAGCACCGGAACGTGTTCGGCAAGATGCTATGACAGCCAAGAAGGATTTTGCCAGACAACGCGGCACAGCAAGTGAGGCTGAGTTCCGCCAGCTGAGGCAGTCGGCGTCGGCGGATATGTCGCGTCGTTTGGAGCATTTGTCCTCCCGAGGTGTCTCTAACTGGCTCAACACACTGCCTATCAGAGAACACGGATATCATCTGTCGAAGGGAGATTTCAGGGATGCGGTGGCGTTGCGGTATGACTGGGCATTGGTTGATATGCCTACTACCTGCTCTTGTGGCCAACCGTTTAGTCCGGCCCATGCCATGTGTTGCCCTACTGGTGGTTTCCCCACCATTCGGCACAATGAAGTTCGCGATATTCTTGCCGACTTACTTACTGAAGTTTGCTCGGATGTCGCTGTCGAGCCTCAGCTTGCTCCGGTTTCGGGAGAGGTGTTTCTGGCAGCCTCAACTATCACCGCCAACGATGCTCGCGCTGATATCCGGGCTCGAGGGCTGTGGACCAGGGCACAGAATGCTTTCCTGGATGTCCAGGTTTTTCATCCCGATGCTCCGTCCTATGCCACCAAACCTCTCGACAAACTGTTGGCGGAGCATGAGAGGAAGAAGAAGCTGCAGTATGCTGAGCGCATCATCAATGTGGACCGTGGGACATTTACTCCACTAGTTTTCACCACGGCCGGTTGTTGTGCGCCAGAGTGCTCCAGATTTGTTAAGCGCCTGTGTGGCCTCATTCCGAGTGGGGACACGAAGTTGTATGCCCAGACAATGACATATGTCCGGTGTCGACTGGCGTTTGCATTGTTGCGGTCGGCGATCATGTGCATCCGCGGTGCTCGATCGTCATATCACCGTCCTGTGAATGCATTGCGAGAGTTGGCAATCTCGGAGGGCCGGCTGTGAGGTTTTGGAGACGATGGTGGGCAGGACAGTGCCCTTGTATTTTCCTGTTTTTTTTTGTTTGTTTTATTTGTTTGTTTTTTGTTTTGTTTTTGTTTTTGGTGTTTTTGTTTTTTTTGTTTGTTTTTTTGCGTTTTTTGGTGTTGTGTTCTAATCATTCGCCATGCCACTGTCAATTGTATTCTGTTTGCCCGTAAAATAGGCCTTTTATTTATAATAAAAAATTTCAATAATAAAAAGCACTGTTTACGAAACCGATTGAATTCACTACGACTAGAAGATTACAGTGCTTAGCATAGGTCGCAATTCTACAGACATCCAACCCCATTCTGTAAATTCTCCTAACTCATTGACTGAATATGACCAGAAGGAAACTACTAGCACACCACCGAGCGTGTATAGTAGACAACGATAATGCAAGAAAAAAA